ACAGACAGTGATCCAAACAGCGAGGTCTGAAAAGCAGTGCTGCTGCATGCCTTTGCATCTCTTTTGAAGCAACCTGCATGCTGGACATATGCACAGTGCTGAAGTGTGCAAAATTTGAATCCCTTCAGATTTCAGAGCACTCCAAATCCATGACTGTCTATGGCCAGAGAAACTAAAGGCCAAATGCACAAACGTATTCAAGCACCTAAGTCCTATTGATTTCACTGGGCGTTTGGCACTGAAATGGGTGTCCAGCTGCTAAACACATTTGTACACCTGAACCCAAATTGTCCAAGATATGTGGGAGATCTTGCCTGATGAGAGAATCAAACCCAAGACTTAAGATCTCAGTTAGCATCCTAACCACTGCATCATCTTCCTCTTTAACAGTGGCTGGTAACTTTAATTCCATAATATTTTCTTACCAATTCAAGACATAAGCGATGACCATAAGCAGCAGAATAATGAACTGCATTATATCCTTGTTTGTCTCGAATCCCTGGATTTGCATCATTTCTTAATAAGTATTCCAGGCACCTATGAAAAGTGGCAAATTAAATATTCATAATATTAAAATTCTACTTTTCCAGTAACTGGTACACCAATCCTTGCCTTGAAAATAAAACAAGAATCCAATTTTATTATATGAAACATAGAATCTACAAAATTACCACACTACATTTAATCAGACTAGTGATCTACTTGGCTCAGCAATCTGTATGGCAATGGCCATACTAGAAAATATGAGGATGATGTCTGTTTGGGTGGTTTTACATGCATGTAATATATCTTGGGAGAAAGATCCCTTTTAACTTGATGTGTAAATGTGCCCTCCAAGTAAATTTTGATTTTAGCTAATATAAAACTGGATATTCTTGTCCACAAGTGACTAATCTTTTCTGTAACCTACTATGTTGTTTCCCTTCATACTTTGTGACTATAATGCTAAGAGTCAAATAATCTCTTTACACATTTAAATATAATATAATAATAAATATTATTATATGTTTCTGATTTAGAAATATGAGAGAAGTGCAAATAAGAAAGGCTGATTTAGCTCCTTAACCCTAATTCCTTCAACCTTTCCTCATGAGCCATGTTTCCGAGGCATCTAATATTTGTTTTTTGCTCTGCACCAGACTCTTTCCAAACTGTCAACATCCTTTGTACACTCCAGAGGAGGCCTCACCAGTGCTGAAGAGAGCAGAAGAATTGCTTCTCTTGAATTGCAAGTGATACTCTGGTAGATATAACCCAGTATGCCACTGGGGTTTTTTTGTAACAAGAGCACACTGTTGGCTCATATTCAACTTAGACTACTGTAACTCCCAGGTCTTTCCCTGCAGTCTAGCCACTCATCTTCCATTCTGTATTTGTGTATGCAAGTATTCTATCACAAGTACAAGACTTTGTATTTACCTTGTTGAATCTCATTTGATAGATTACAGAAAATTTCTCCAGTCTATCTAGGAGATTCAGGATCCTAGCCCTACCCTCTGGAGTATCTGCAACTTCACCCAACTTGATGTCATCAGCGAATTTGCTAAGCATGCGGTCAATCCCATTGTCCAAATTATTAATGAAGATATTACATAATACTTGACCCAGAACAGGCCCCTGGGAAATATCAGTTAATACCTCCTCCCAGCCAGACATTGAGCCATTGATGAGTACTTGCTGAGCATGATGATCCAACCAGTTATGTATCCACCTTACAGTGCTAGTCTGCATTTATCTACTACAGGGGTTGTCAATCAGGGGTATGCTTACCCCTAGGGGTACCTGGAAAGGTAATAGGGGGTACGAGAGGGTGGGCAGGGCAGCAGTGCCCCTCTGCAGATGGATGTGGGGCAGGGAGGCTTGCAAATGGCAGCTGCTGCTGCCACCCACCACTCCACACTGCTGCCTCACAGGAGCAGGGCTGGGGTGGGGGGGGTGAGGGTGGCTCCATGGGCTGCTGACAGATGGGAGGCACATGGTTGGCTGGGTGCGAGGCCCGTCAGCAGTCCACAGAGCCACATGTCCAACTGGCCATGGGAAAGCAGGGCACAGCAGCAGCAGGGTGGGGTGGCAGCAGTATGTGACCCCCCCTGCATGTGAGCACCCCCCCATCCACCACCATCAGAAGGGGTACACTTGTTAAAAAAGGTTGAAAACTCCTGATCTAGTCAATATTTCCCTCACTTATTTATCAGAATTTTGTGGGAGATGTTTAAATAGGGTGGAAATATCCTTTTCAACATGCATTACCATAACTGAATTTCACCAACCCTATCACATAGGTTTATTAATTCTCTATCATTCCTTACATTTGACTAACCTCAGTAATTTTGTGGTATTCATAAATTTTGCAACATCATTAAGCATATGTCATTAATACATATGTTAAATATGATAGGTTTATAGCAATCCATCTGGATTGATACATTTTGCACATCAACATATCTAGCAAAATACAGTTAAAGCAAAACTGATCTTTGTTCCTGTCTCATTTATCATGGATCTTTATCTTGCATCCCATGATTACATCAGCTTCCTTGATAGCCCATTTATAGGAGACTTAATCAAAGAATTTTTGAAAGTTCAAATAAGTATGTCTGATTTCTCATTTATAAATCAAGCAGTTGATTGTCAAATAATTTTAAGGTCAGAGAAGCACAGATTTCCTTTACAAACAGAATTGTGCTTACTTGTCTCTATTTTTTCCAACCAATTCATCTGGTTCAGAAATAAGGCTTACTTATCAAATACCCAGTATTAAAAGCATTTGATAAAGATGCAAAAAGAATGTCTCCAGAAATAAATGGGGAAAAGATCTTTAGGATACATGCTATTGTCTCAAAGTAATCTCAGGAAGCAGCTACACACATTTTTATCACAAAGGATATAAGAAGTTTAGAGAAATACTCCAGAAACTCTTTATTGCCAATGTGTCTGACATTGCCTTCTGTGTTCTGGTATTCATTTAGCTTGTTTTTAATATTATTCTCCTAACTGGGCATAACTCATTCCTCAGCTGTTCTTAATCATCCTGCAACATCAACATAAAAAGTTGTCCCTCAAACCACACTGCTGTGCTATGCCTTTCAGAGAGTCAATCAGAGCAGTAATATATGGAGCATTTTGGAGACCATTTTTTGAGTTATTTCCAAAGTCCCTTATATGCTGCTGTCATAAGTGGCTGTAAAATGCTAGCATTTGGTGAGGGACTCAATTCATAATCTGGCTTTTGTAAGATGGCAAAACAGTGTCACCTGAAGAAACACTGTGGTGCTGAGACACTGGAACAATTGTGAAACTCAAAATCTAGCTAGGAATTAAATTAAGGTATTAATTAAAGAAAAATTCATCCCAACTAATGCTGGCAACTAGTAAAACCCTACACAGAAGATAGACAATAAAAATGATAAGCTTTGAGGGGTAATCAAACTGCCAATATTACTGACATCATTATTCTTTAAAACTCCTTACAAATTATATATAGCTGGTCTCTATACCAGTGGTTCTCAACCTTTTTAGAGTCAGGGCACCCCGCCACACCTTTTTTGGAGTTTGGCAGCACCTAGGGTGACCACCTTTTCAAAATGCAAAGGCAGAACACATGGCCTTCTCCACACCCCCAGCAGCACGGGCACAGCAGAATCCTGTAGCCCATGGAGGGTGGGGGAGGAAGCAGGCTGCCCGCTGCAGGCTCAGCACTGTCCGCCCTGCTGCCCTCCCCCCGGGGGCCTCCGTGGCCCAGCAGGCAGGACCCAGTGCAGGAGGGCAGAGAGGCTTGGTGCTGCCACCACTGGGAGCTCCATGTTGGCTGCGCTGCCATGGTGAGGTGCTCCCTGCCTGCCCACCAGCAGTGGGAGGTACAACTCCACGATCCCACATGAGAAACATCCGATAGAGGTAAGGACTTTCCAACAACTGCCATCAGAATTTAAATATGGGAATTTTTACTAGAAAGGCCTCTAGCAATTGTACCTATCAGGTAGTGTCAAAAGTCAGGGCACCAGCTATATTTACTCAAGCTTTGTGCAGAGTATAGGTTAGAAATTTTCTTTACACTGCGTGCATCTACACATGCGCTTTACTAGCTCTGCAGTAATGTGTCACAGTCAACATGTGTGCTGGTATCAGGGCACAGTAAATCAACTCCACCATAGGACAGCACAGTCCTGGACAGCCTTATCGTACAGCAGAGTAGAGTAGTTATGTGCTCTGTGACACACGTGTAGACTGTGACAGGGCCTGGCTGGGGCACGAGGGTGCTACAGTTTGGGGGCCGCTTGCCTCCTAGCCCTACACTGTAGCACCCTTGTTACCTAGCCAGCTCAACACCACCATCCGGCAGAGTTGCTCTGCCTTGGGTCAAATTGCTGTGGTCCCAGGCACACATGTAAACACTGTGCCTGGGAGTAGTTTTCTCTGGCACAGCCTGTACTGGAGTTTATCATTTTGGCTTAATTGTATGTACAGATACACCCAGCAAAAACCCAATTAAAATAATGCCATTAAAAATCAAAGAGAAAAATTACAATACACCTCAGTGTAACTATTACATTTAAAAAAGAAACTTGCTTTAAACAGAAGTATTTCTTATAAACTAACAACATTCCAGTCAAATTTCATTTAGTCATGCTCAAAAAAATCTAAATATATTACATTTAGCCAATATGATTTCAGAATGTAAGGCAACAAAATATAGCAGCTGGGAGACCCTTAACTATTCAGCCTTTTGTACAAGACAGAATACTTACTTTCCATCTGTGTCTGATGCAGCTGCATAGTGCAGTGGAGTACAACCCCTCTCGTCAAGGTCATTCACGCTAGCTCCAGATCCCACAAGGGCAAAGAGGCACTGGTAATTACAATTGGCAGCAGCATAATGGAGTGGAGTTCTGCAGTATACATTTAAACACAAAGAGATAAGCAGTAAGTAATAGCAAAAACAGGTTAATGATGTAGCAAATTAAAAATAAAATAAAAATTATTTACAATCTATTTTATTTTCATGTTATTTTATCTCATTATATTATACATAAATAATTAAAACTATTGCCAGTGAAGCATTTAAAAATGCAGTAGCAATTCAGGAGATATGTCTGTCAGCCAATACGTGCACAGTTGTGTGTAAAGGGGAAGTGTACACATGAGGAGATGAAGTTTGTTATAATGACTCCTGTTAATTTATCTATTTGCACAATAGATAACAATTATACTGAATGGCTTAACAATTTAATGTTAAACCATTCACTAAAAATTAGTTCAATCATCAGTGGTGCAAAATCACTAAATGAAGGTTAAACAAATTTGACAGTTGATTTAGGAGGAAATTTAAACCACCCTGAAGAGATCCAAAGTAGATGCCCCTTGTAGTAGTATTTGAAAGTGCACCAGAATTTAGGGAGCAGAACTGAGGTCTAAATGGAAAGCTTTAAAGAGCAATTGCTCATTTCCTCCTGTTCTAGTATACCAAAAATAGCTCAATAATTTCTCATTCAAGTTAAAAAATTGTGATTTTGGTTTTTAAGCTTGAAGTTTTCTTTTCACATGAAAACTATTTGGAGAAACAGCTTGAGAGAAACCCCTTCCAACATAAAACATATAAACAATTCCCAAA